GTGCAAATTCATTGACATTAAAACAATATATAAAAGGGGGGGGTTGGAAGATTTATACATAGCCTAAAAATGCAAAATAAATTGAGAACTTAAACAATAATGAATAAATTCTAGTGATRAGTGTAACTAGTTCTTTATCAAATCATGTATCATTGACTTGTATAAAAACATTTTCTTAATAGATTTTAGACCGGCCGTAAGTGTCAACACGTGCCAAACACTCCGCTTGTCCTTATAATTAAACTAACATGAGAAGCTCGATAGATTAGTTCCTAATTGATTGAGTTGATTCTAGTCAYGGACGTAAAATTCAACCTACCAATCGCCTTACGTATTAGACAAGCACCAATCCTAACTAATGAACGGAAGCCCGAACATTTAAGTTAGATTACACAGTCYTATAATGCAAACCAAAGAACTTGATTTTCTATTGATGCACTATTTGCTACCAAKTGRAAATTAAGAACAATTACAAGTTCCTAATCACGACTAGCAATTCAAATTTAGGCTAAAGGATTCAAGGGATCCTTCTCAAAACCAAAATCCTAAAAATGAAAGAACGATTCAGAACGAGAATTTGCGTAAATAAAATTCAATTAAGGCTCAATGTTAAACAAGTCTCAACAAAATTCAATGCAAACTAATTATAATCTCATCACTAGAATCAGAAAATTAGCAACCCATAATTTTAATCCGAAACAGAAATTAAACTTACGGATGGTAGAGAATTGTAGAGTATGAAGAACCCTAAGTTGAGAAATCTAAATTCATCTCTAAAATCTGGAAATGGATTTCAGTTTGCTTACAACATTTTGATTCCTCCCTCTTGATTCTGCTACTTCTCCTCTYGATCGTTACCTGCTGTCCTCTTTTTCTATTGCTGTCCAATAGAACAGCATGCTGCTACCGCTCGACCCGCTGCTTGCTGCTGCCTCCTTCTTGATGACAGCCCTCTCGATTTCTCTCGTGATAGCCCCCTTCGATAGATTCCTCTGCCTTCGACCGGTTCTGTCTAACCGAGCCAGAAAATCGACAGCCCTCTTCTTTTTTTGTTTTCAATCCAATCGAACCTCCCTTCTCTCCCAATCGGACAGCCTTTAAACACACCTCCATCTCTTGTCGCTACCCACGATTTCCCGTCTCTACCTCGATCGACGCCCACGTTGCTGCTGCTCACGTCTCTCTTCTCCCAACTTCTCTCGATGCACGTTTCTCTCGGTTTCTGATTTGGGCAGCAGCCTTGGGCTACTGCTGTTTGGGCTGTCTTCTTCTTTTTTATTTTTTCCATGGGCTGCAGTTGTAAGCAGCAAACTTGGGCTGCTGTTTGGGCCACAAAATCAACACATTTTCAACTCATATAGTCTCTAGAAGTTAAATTAAATTGACCCCTTTTAAGCATAAATTTGTATAAATTTGGACTTATCACCTTAGCCTTTGCAGGCTTGGGTTTGTTTGCATTTCTCTTGCCCTTAGGCTTGGGCTTTTTCACGTTTTCATTGGTTTTATCATTATAGCGATAGACATGTTTGGAAAATATGCAGCGATGAGTTAACATATGGTTCCTCAGATTTTGTAAAAGAGTTAAACATTGGCAATTAAGATTTTTAGGACATGAATGTCTAACTTTCTTTTTATTCGATGAAAATGAAGAAGTAACTGTAGGGGATGAAAATCCTGTCCTAGCATCGGTTGTTTTTACAAACTTCCTTCTAGTTCATATTTTTTATTTGTGGTAGGCTTGGTCTTTACTTCTTTCCTGAGGAAGAACTTCTTTTCTACAGCTGAATGAGAAGAAAAGTGTTGGTTTGAATGTTCAGAGGCAGGCCACTTCTGTTTCTGCGTGCGAGTAAACTTAATGAACTTAGATGAAGTACTTGGGCCTTGTGAGGTATCATTGGCAGATTTGGTGTTACTCGGTTTTCCTTTTCCTTTGTCTGAAGTTTTCATAGATTCAGGAACATCAAATTTCATTGAGACCTTGATGTTTTGAGGCTTCTTATCCTCAATGATCTCTGGTGATTCACAGACTATCTCTTCTTCAGATTCACAGTCAAGAAAGTCTTTCGCGAATTTTTCGAAATCAAAATTGTCATGGATGTTTGTGGGAGGAATGGGTTAAGAGTTTGATGGTTGAGAGTGATCTGTTGGGGGTTTGTTAGGACTGAAAATCAGTATTAAATTGTATTCGTCTTGAAAATTAAATATTGTCTATAATTGTAAAAGTCATCATGTTTGACTTTTCTTAGGACAAGTTTGACTTTGACTATGTTTAGAAGTTTGACCCTATAAATAGGGTGATGTCTTTTGTAATCTTTAGAAGGTAGGAGCTTATTGTAATATTCAGATTACGTAACAGAAGGTTTGACTAGATTTAAATGTTTGACTTTCTCTCTCAAATCTCCTCTCAATGTTCTTGTGTATTAGATCCAGATCTGCCATAGATTCTTAAGATGTATTGAAGATTGATCATCAAAGTGACCACACAATTGGTATCAAAGCAGAAATGCAAGAAATCAGAAGAAAAGATCAATAGATTTGAAGATCTTTGAAGATTTTTTCTGGAATTTTTTTTAAAAGTTCTTTGTGTTCTTATTTTTTTTGAGTTTGATCCAAAATCTTGTAAATTTTTTGAGTTTTGGTGTTAAAACAGTAATCATTTTGTGCGTAATCTTGTAGTGAATCTTTGTTTTACACAAAGATTTACATTTTGATCAGATGATTTCAAGTTTTTGGTTAAAATCTGTGTTTTTTTAAATTTTTCGTGTTCTTAATTTTTTTTTTTAAATTCCAGTGATTTTGATCCATTTTTTTTAATCTTTTTCTGTTTTTGTGTTTTTGATTGTTTTGATCTGTTTTTTTTTTTTTTTTTTTTTTTTTTAGATTGAATCTATTTTGTTAAATCGCTTAGCCCATTTTCAGGCCCATCCGGTTAGTCCATCTAATTTCACCTTAATCGCACAGCAACCCCATCCGATTTAGTAAATCGCTCATCTTTCTCTTCTCCGGATTCATAAATCGTTCATCTCAAGATTCATCGCAGATGACTTGAATGATCAAGGTGTAAATCGCAGAAGTCTCAAGCGGACAAGGGTTTAAATCGCAAAGGTATTGATCGAGCTAGACTTCAAGGTTCATCGAATTCGGTCACAGGTACCTCAAATTGATCGTATTCGGTCACATTTCAATCACATCTTGAGCGGATATTTGATCGATTTAAGTTTAGTCTTGAGCGGACTAGGGTTTAAATCATACAACTCGTGACCGGATAAGTGACCAGATAGGTAAATCGATTAGTTCTTATTTAGCAAAATCGAAGAACATCTGTTCGATTTTATAGTATTCTGAGATAGGTGGTTCCATATTGGTTGTATAACTTTTTTTTGATACATTCTATTCATATTTTCATTGGTTGTGTTTACACCAAATTTTGTCCGGATTAGGTTCACTCACATACTACTTTGACTGGGTCTGAGCTTCATTTTCAGCTGGTAGTTTCACACAAATATTAACTGTTTGAACTATTAACTGTCAGCATCTTGATCAGTTTAGTTTGCAGTCTTGAACTATTTTAAAACAGTTTGAGTGGTTTATCTTCACGTTGACCATGCAATGAGTTGTTTGAGCAGATAAGAAGCTAGTGTTAAGTGTATTTGCACTTCAAGGATTGTTACTGTTTTACAAGCTGCACAGCTGTAGTGTGTTTCTATAGCTTGCTGCATTTTGAGTGATCAGACTTGATTGATGTTTGATTTGTTGTTCATGTTTTGATCTAACAAGGAACCAGGTAATGTTGATCACTGTTAAGCATATTTTGTATTGGGTTGTCTAGTTTGTTCAATCTGTATCATTCTAATTCGGCAGTAGTTTTAGCAGAAAGACAATTCTGGAATAGATGATTTTGGTTTGTTTTTGGTCTTGATTGATTGAAATTTGGGCAGCTGGCAAGTTATCAGCTCAGTCGAAGCAGTTGAATAGGTTGTGGTGATTGATCAATTCTGTCATAAACAGTCTAATATCATGTTGTGAGTTTTTAACAGACTTGAGCTGATTTCATTCTATATATTGTTGTGAGTCTTTGAGTGAGCAGGATTCAAGCTGTTCTTCAAAGGTGCTTGCTGTCATAACACACAAGTGCTCAGATGTCCAAGCGGTTTAGTTAGATAGTATTGAGTGATTTGAATCTCAAGCTGAGAAGTGAGCTGTTTGAGTGATTTTCTTGGCCAAGCAGTGAGCATTTTGACCAGATAGAAGCTGTTTGTTTCGTTTGCAGTCATGACCAAGTTAAAACAACATAAATAACATGCGTCAATCTGTTTGAAGGGGAGGTTTTCACATGAAGCCAGAT